TAAGTAATAAAAGTACAAAAAAGGAAAATAGAAGTTTTAATACTCTTACAAAGGAGATAACTATTAAGGTTGTAAGTTTCCCTTCCTAGTCTTGCATGACTTTTTGTTCAAAGGCAATAACCAGACACCTAGACTATTTGGGGATAGTACTTTCAGTACCCAAGGATTTAAAAAGAAAAAAATAGAGTAATATGGGCACTGAATAGGAAGAATATAAATCCCAGGAAACCTAAAGCAAATTTGCAAACTTACACATGTCAATGGTCAAATGTCAATGTTAATGTTGGAAGTGATCATGGTTTAAAAAAAAGTTTCTTATACTAATCAACATGAAAACTACAAGAAATAAGTCCATCTGTATTAATTCTTCAAGATAAACATAAATTAAAATATTCTGAAGTTGAGGCTTCCTCAGTTGGTAATATGGCATAGCTTTAAAAAAACAAAACACAAAACTAAACAAACAAAAAAACTACATTGGCACATACACACATTTGTCAAGGTTAGGGATTCAGTATCCAAAAGTAAAGGGCCCGCAAGCAGGGGTAGAAGAGTAGCATAGAGTAGTTCAAGTAATTTGAACCCTCTATCCTGGAGAACAGCTACAGCCACTGAGTCCACATCCTGTACATTTTTTTATTTACTATCATCCTACAAGCCTTCTATAGCAAAGTGAATAAATGGGACTTAAGCAAGCTGTCCAAACAGCTTCCTTCTGGTTCTTCTACTGATCTAAATCTCCTTTGTTGATTTTAACTTATCCAGCCAAACTCTGACTCCACATACATCAGGGCTCAATTCTCCCGCCTTTTTCTTCTGTCTGCACACACACACAAGCTGGGTGATCTCATACATGCCCATAGCTTTAAATACCCTCTACGTGTTGACAAGTTCTAAATTTATATCTCTAGTCCCATCTGTTACCCCAAACTCTCTGGACTCCTTTACCCAGCTGCTCCCTAGGCAAAGCTACTTAGATATCCAAGTAGGCATCTAAATAGATTCAAATTTTTAACTATTTCTTCTCTAGCTCCTTCTTCATCTCAACTAATGGCAACATCTACCAACTGCATTATTTTTTTTCTTTTCAGCACTTAACCACCATCAGACATAACTTGTTTAATGCCTGCTTCTTCCCAATAGAATGCAGGCTGCCACGAACAGGTATTTCTCTCACAATATGTAAGGACAAGAAGGAACTAATTTAGCCTGTGTGGAACATGCAGGCCCCCAGGGGAGACCTGTGGGGTAAAGCCTGAATGACAAGATGAAGCCAATGGGAGGATATGGATCAGGATGTTCAAGGCAGAGGACAAGACAAATGCGGAGGTCCAAGTCCAAAAGAAGCTTGGAGGGACACCTGAAAAGAGACTGAAGTCTGTGTGGCAGGAGAACAGGGAAGGAAGGAGGGTGCTAAGAACAGAGCAATAGGGGGAAGAGTGTGGTTCCAGGAATTCAGGGGGAGGAAATGGGAAGTTCAAAGGCCTGGAGGCAAGAGACTCAAACTGAGTATTTCAACACAAATAACAAGAAGTGACCAAGGCGGCTTGCAGAAAGCCCCAAGGGAGCATCTCATGCTTCCTTAGGGGGTTCTGTTGGTATGTTAGTTATTTGTTAGTAACTGAAACAAATATTTCCTACTACTTTTGTATTGGATTAAAACTGCGTTTTTAGTTGGCCTTGGAAAAAAAATTTTTAACTCAAGGTTAATAAGAAGCAAAAAGGAGGTTCCATTTAAAAAAAAAAAGGTCAATGTTTTTTGGGGCTCTTCTCCTACAAATAGCTTTTATGTTAATATACCCATCTTACTGAATATGGTAAATCACTGGAGACATGAGAATTTGTTTAAACTGTTAAGAGTCCTCATTCATCTCCATGAGCTTTTATTTTTCTTTAGTCACTGTTCTGACACATATAGGTTTTGGTCAGATTCAATAATATAAGTCGTGATTTATCGCTGAAAAAACAGAATGATTAAATGGTTTTATAATCAATTACAGAACTCCTTTACACGTTCCTAGTATATCCACTTAAAATATTCTACTTCCAAAATGAAGTACTAACTCTTCAGCACATCTTTATACAAAATCTGCTACCAGCTATTCCTTCAGTTGTAGTAACATCATATGACCAGAAGTGTCAAATAACTCACTCCAATATTTAGATTTGTGTTTTTATTGATTACTTCTATAGAATCTTTGTGGAAAATCCAATCTATTAGGCTTTTATCTGTAGAGATTTTTGTCATTATTTTGCATTCTTTATTTCAGACCTTCTCTGAAACAACAAGAAAAACAACAAACCCACAATGTGACTTCACTCATAAATGCACTTTCCTTCTTGTCCCACCATGAGACACAGGGCTGAATGCAAAAATGCTGATCTTTGAAACACTAAGAGTTAGTGATCTAATCTCTATCTCCATTGTTTAGATTCTACCCCATTCCTCAGCCGTATCTTCTCCTTGGCCATGGTCTTTTATCCTGTCATCTTATTGGACGTCTCAAGATCCTATTCATAAAACATCCAAACCTCTGGGCTCAGCCTCCTTGATTCCTAAGGTCTGCCTTCCTACTCATCCACATCTTAACTTCACTATCTGGACCAGTTCCATTGCCAACGTCAGTATATTTCAAATCCCACCCCTGATCACAATTTCAGTGTCCTCTCTTAGAATCTTCTCTGTCCCTAATGAACCTTCAACATATGCGCGAACTAACGAGTCATGCTTGCCCTTTCTGCTTTCTAAGGCTATCAGTACCCTCCTCCTACCTCAGTTATCCTTATATTCAATCAAGACCCATTGCCATATTATACAAATCCATGTCTCTATCATCTAGCACCATGTCTTTGTGTGCCAACCACCAACTTGAGCCTGACCTCCCAACTGCTCTTACTGCTCATAGTCCAAGGTTCTGGGCACTGCTAGAAAAATCATGAGAAAGCATGATAATTAGCCTTTACTTGACATATTTATAATGAATGTCTGACTTCAATGACTACCATTGACCAATAGTCCCTTTTTTCTTATACAATATGTTCCCGACTGTTCTATACTATTTCTACAAACTCCTCTCACAGCGAAGGACCACTCCTTCCTAACACTATTATCCCTCTGCCCAACCAACTGGCGAAGTTCTATGTTTAAACCAGTCTATTCTTCCTTTTCTCCCAGCTCAGAGCAAGGGCTTTCCCCCTGGTGCCTATAGGTCTCTTTAGTGCTATAAGAACATTCCTCTGGCTCCTTTTTTGCCTACATGCTACCATACACTTTCCAATATTCTTCATACTAATTCATTTTTCTAAAATTATAATTCATGCTAGTTGGTTTATCACTCTTCTGAATTATTTGCACAGGGTTTGAACCACAACCTCACTCAATCCAGAGCTATGTATTCCCCTGGCTTCCATGACACTTCCAGCTCTTTATTTACACATATCTCTAACCATTCTTTCCCTGTTTCTGTCAGCATCTCCCCTTCTGGGCCATAAGTGCACATACTACCCACATCTCCTCATGGAACTGGGAATTCAATTGTGTAACCTCAGAAAGCTGGAGTGGGGATTATGTATAAAGCACTTAAAAGTGTCCTATTTAGCCTCAAGACTCCAATCAAAATCACCTCCACAGTAAATCTTTCTCTGACCTCCTCAGAATGGGAAGTTAGTCTCCTATAATGGCGTATATGTATCTAGTACAGGTGATATGGTATGGCCTGATCTCATACTGGGACCAGACCCAGGGTAGGCTGCTGATTCCTAAAAAATATGGTTACCACCTCTCCCGATATTTCTTTCACACCTTATCTCTTTGTCAACATAGCCACCAAATTAATCGCTCCTAAATCCCATACTGATCCTATCATTTCCTATTCAAAAACTTCTAGGAATTATCCTGCTGCCTGTAAAAACACCAAAACTTCTTAGCCCACCTCTAAAACACTGAATATAGTCAAAACTACCGGTCTTCTACTAATACCTCCTAAGAACTATCTTCCTTCTCCTACAAATACATACAGTACTTTCTCCTACCTTGTAGCCTCTACTCAGGCTCATTCACTGGACTGCAACATCCTAGTCCTGGGAGTCCTGGGGGTCCTCCCTGGCTCAGGCAATGCTGCCTATGAGTCAAGGCCACCTTAAAAGTACCCTCCTCAAATTGCTCTCCCTTATCCATTTGCAAAATGACACAAAACTGTGCTGCATTTCTAGCACATGTGGTCCACACTTATGTTTATTTATGTGTACATGTAATTCTCTAACAGGACGGTGAAGTACAGTGAAATCAAAGACGATGTCTTAAAGAAGTGAGTAACTTTCATTGTGCCTGACTATCAGCAACTTCATCACCATTAACATTTATTATGTGCCAGGTGCAGCTACAAATGCTTTACAACAATCTGGGATATATCAAACTATTTTTTCCACATACATATGGGAAGACTGGGTCATAGACAGGGGTCTTCATTATGAAATTATATTTGTGAATGGATAAATGCACTGCTAATAACCAAACACTGATACTGTCACATAAATTAATTTATCAACCTAAAGGACTTTGTCCTTCCATAGAGCCTTCAATACCCAATTCAAATGTGGCCTTTTCAAAAGTCTCCTGCTAACACCTTGGCAAAGTTAGTTGCTCCTTCCATGAATTGCCTTTAATATTTGCAAATATATGTCTTATAACACTAAGGCTATTTAGGAGTTTGCTCAATTAGAACAGGTTTCTTAATGGCAGTTTGTTCAATATTTTTAACTCCCATAAAAATTAACTGGAAAGCAAAATGAATGTAATCTGCATCCGTGGAACAAATGAAATAAATAGAAATGGTTAATCTTAGTTCCAATACGTGACAATCATACAATTTTTTCCTGTAACATTTAGTACATGCATCAGATTATAAGGTCTGGTATGGCTAAGCCTACTTCAGAAGGTCTATTCTTTCTTTTCTTTTTATCTAAACAAAGCATTATTAAGAAATGAGTAATAGACTTACCAGTCTTCTCCTTTCTTCTTCTACTGTGATGAGTAGTCTTGCAAATTCTTTTAGTGACTGAGCTATTTAGAAGACAAATGTTAAAAATAAGCATTAACCCTTTTTCATTGCTGTTATCTAACTGCACAAGAATAAACATTACAATAAGCTAGTTATAAATTTGTTTATATTCTATGATTTTATGTTTTTATAAGCATAAAACAGTATATACAATAGAATCTCAATGACTAACAGCTATAGATGAGATATTTGTGTGCTACAAATTGAAGTTAAGCACATATCAAGTATAATATTTTTTTCTTTAAAGACACTAGGGGAATATAGTTTATATACTTAATATATGACTCATACATTAATAAATAAAAGTATAGTACTAGAATCACTTCTAAACACAATATTACAAATAATGAAAAATACTTTAAATCTTAAGAAGCAATAAATCCAGTGCAAAGTCTCCCACTGACTGCTTTCTAGAAGTGTAATGGGTTCTGTATTTCTCCCATACCTGCAATATTTTAGACCTTTCCTGTTCAGCGTGGTCAAACGACCACCAGCATCAGCATTTTGGGAACTTAGAAAAACAGACTCTCAGGCCCCACTCCAGAATCTGCATTTTAACAAAATCCCCAGGTTTTTTGAATAATAAGTGGACCAGCACTGCTTTAGAAAACTATCTGATCCTATATTGCTGTGGCATGGGGAAAGGATCAAGTATTCAGAAACTTTAAAAGAATAAACCAAAAATAGGGAGTCATAGCAGCCTATTCTTTAAAAATATGCATGGTCCCAAATGGCAATTGTGAAAGAGTAATTTATCCACATCTCTTTTTGTACCTTATACTTAATATGAATTATTAACTAAAATCAGAATGTTTAGTTACAATACTAAGGAAACAAATAAGATTTATTGGTTTTCACTTAAAATTTGAGACTCCCCTTCTACATCCTTATTCTTTAGGCTCCCCAACCCCTCCCTTCACACACAGTGATACTGAACACATTGTGTGAGACCAGAAGTCTAGTGAGTCTGGTAGAAAGCCTACAATAAAGACAAGTGAGGAAAACAAATGAAAAGCCACATAAACAGAACTTAAGAAAGAGAAAGAATGTTTTCCATTCAGGAATTTTAAACTCCAATCTAGGATTTTTTTTCCTTCCTTTTCAGGTTTACAGTAAACTAAGCTGGTTTGAAATGCTATCCCTAAATTACTTCACATTGGGTTTTGTTCAGTTACCAAAACAGAAATCAAAGGATTACCTGGTAGACTCAGATTAATCTGATAAACACATTAATGGCCTTAGAATAAGGATAACTTTTTTAAAAGTTAAAAGTTTTAATTTCTCCAAAAAAAAACAACAAAACACCCTATCAATGTTATGATGCGACCCAGTTTTGACAAAACTAAGTATACTGATTTTAACTGGGGCGCATAATAACATATATTTTTGTAATTTCCATAAAGAAAGCATTCCATCATCTGGCACCAAAAATCTCTGTTGGTGAGCCTGAAAAAAATGTCAACCAAACTTTGGGTGGTGGAAGGCAATATTAACATGTCTACAGAGAAAGAAACCAAGAGATAAGTCAGTTGGGCTACAGGAATTGAGGCAGCAGGCATTCCTGAGGCTGAAGAAATAAAGGGAGATATAAATAGAAAGATAGTTGAAAGTAAAAGAAGCAAACAATTTTAACCTCAGATTTCTTACTCAATGCCTCCCAAACTACTTAATAAATCAGAAGGAAGGAAGGAAGGAAGGAAGGAAGGAAGGAAGGAAGGAAGGAAGGAAGGAAGGAAGGAAGGGAGGGAGGGAGGGAGGGAGGGAAGGGACGGGAGGGGACTTTATCTGCATATGCTTCCTTTTATATCAGAATCTATTGGATGAAGAACTCTAACAAAACGTGGGAGTAAACCAAGAGAAGAGGATACAGAATCTAGAACTAGGAGATCCAATGTAGAAGAGAAGCACGTGGAATTTACATATATATAAGAAATATATATTATATATAATATTTATGTTTATTTATTTATTTATTTTCCAGGACAACAGTTGTGCAAAAGATCCAGAGAGGATCTTATCTACACTAAAGCAATTAGATTAGGGGCTCCAGGAAATGTCTCCTGAGGAAAAAAATAGAACCGATCAATATCCTGATGTGTCTGAATGTAATGAGAGGAGATTTATAATCCTTTTTTAAAAAGAAAATACAAAGGCAATTATTAACTCCTGGGAAAATAAAGTTATATACAATTAAAATAAATGAAATAGTTGAACTGTAATATGTACAAAGTCACTGTAATATATACATTAAAAATTGAGCTTGCCAAAATTAAATTTCAGCTTTTTTGAGAGAATAGGGGAAAGGAGTATATAAGATAGTATAAATTCAAGACATAATAGGACAAGAGCGTGAAGTAAAAAGATGGTATCTAAAACCAGGAAAAAAAATCAAGAAGTAATGAGATTTGTGATCTTTAAGGAAATGTAAGAAATGGCTAAAAGTTCAAAGTGGTTTTCCTGAGAATTAAGTGGTTGAGAGTAGTAAGATAGAAAATTGCTAATATTTTTTTTTAAGTCCTTACCTGAGGATATATTTACTGATTTTAGAGAGAGACTTGGGATGAAGGGAGGGAGGGAAGAGAGAGAGAACTATAGAAACACTGAGGTGAGAGAGAAACATCCATGGGTTTCCTCTCATATGTGTCCCAACCTGGGATCGAATCGCAACCGTTTTTGTTTTTGTTTTTGGTGTACAGGATGATGCTCCAACCAAATGGGCAACCTGACTAGGCAAGGGTATTGCTAGTTTTTGAGTTTAAGATAAAAATGTATAACTTTTTAAATAAATAATAAAAATAAAATATGCTATTATTGCTTTATTTTCCTACGGGCCTAAATTCTAGGAGGACATAAATCACATATTATTACTTTTCACAAAGAGTTAAGTAACTATCTAGCACACAGAAGCTTATCAGGTATTTTTGGAATAAATAAAAATATAATCTTGATTTTAGAGTGGCAGGGGTACACTGGAAACTTCCACTTGGTCAACCCAGAAAATGATCACGGGCCTACTCAGCAGTGACCTAGAAGTCCCAGGCAGTATGTTACTACGGTTACTGCCTAAGTCCACAGGCTTCCCCAAGATAGCTACTACTCTGAGTAAACTGTGGAGTTGCCTTAAATCTGATTTTGATTGCCAGTAAGTTTTGTACCCTCATTTTCTTTTTTTTTTTAATTTTTCAGGGAAATAACTTTGAAAAAGATTGCTTTCTTTAAATGCTATAGTCTCAGTTCCACAAAAGTACCTGTTTCTTGGACCAAATGAAGATATACATTTGTCATTTGTTCTATTTAAAAAAAAAAAAAAAAAAAGGAACAGTAAGTATATCATGAATTAGTCAAAGTGGCCTACTGTTTTTTTAAACCCATACCTAATGTTTTCCTTTAATCTTTTTACTTATCATCATGTCAAAGCATTGTATTAATAGTTTATTAAGCAGGAGGTAACATGAAGAACATAGTATTTAACAATCCTGTGAAGCAAATTTAAGTAATTTAAGGTCATATCTTGTAAACTGGGTTTTACAATCAAGGGCTGAAGGATATAGCCAGTCCCTTCCCTGCCTGCCCCACCCTCAAAGTAGCAGGAACCTGTAACACCAGCAGGACAGATCCGAGCAGCCTTGTGCACCCCAGGAGCTCACAAGTGATAGAGGCCAGTAATAGAATCTCTGGTGCAGGGGACCCACAGATGCCTTAAATAGACTATGAACACTGGAAGGAGTCTATTCTCCACCAGACCTCGAGCAGAAAATAGATACAAAATGATTCCCCCAGCACCCATCATGGTGCCTTATACAGAAGAGCTATTGATTTTGTGACTGCTAGAGGCATTTCTTCTAAGACTTCATTTAAACAAAATCATAAAACATTTATTACATGCAAATTTCTAATACTCAAATACTTTCTTTTATCAACAACTATATGTGAGGCTCTCTATTTTATTTATCAATATTAATGTTTACATATATAATTATTTCATTATCTGATTGGGGGGGCAAACTAATTCAAATGTAATAGCTGGTCCTATAATTACAGCTGGTATGACAGGAGCATAATTTAGTGAGAAAAATATTCCCAAAACAATACTTAATACCCAATGGGCTTTCAATAGATGATCATTACATGAATTAATAAGTTTAACAATACATTTCCATAGCCTATTTGCTCTACCCACACTTACTCTAATCTTCATAAATATTACAAAAAGAATAGCCAGATAGTTTGGAAAATTATGTGAGCTATCCACATTCTTGCCACCTGCATGAAACTTTCCTGGCTATATCCACCAGTAACGACCTTTTCCCTTCCTGACCATCTGGACCACGAGATTACTGGAGAGCAACCAAAACACAGTTTCACGTATTACTGAGGTCAAGAATTTTGCTATAGGCTTTCCTTTTTATCTCCACAATGTGATATTGGAAAAACACTTTTGGATGAAAAGAAATCAATTATTCAGGTGTACATATGACAGGCCCTGAGGGTATATTCACACAGCCAACAGCTAGATTATACCTAGAGGGTAAAAAGTATGATAATGGCTTCTCTATTTACCGGTATCATAAATTCCAAAACATTCCTGAATTGCCTAAAATACCTATTTCCTAATTTAATCTTCTCAGCAGACTTAAATTTTCCCTATTTTTTAATTTAATCTTTATTGTATTTTTTTCCATTACCATTTAGTCCCCTTATACCCACCTCCCCCCTGTTCTCCATGTCCACGAGTGCTTTCTCCTTTTTGCTCAATCCTTCTCTCCCCAACTCCCTCCACCACTAGCTGTCACCTGCTCTCCATCTATGAGTTGTCTCTGTTTTGCTTGTTAGTTCAGTTTGTTCATTAGATTCCACATGTAAGTGAAATCATATGGTATTTGCCTTTCTCTGACTGGCAATTGTAGAAAACCTGTTTAGGGTCTGGAAGTAAGAATAAGAAAGAAAACGAAAACAACTCCCTGTTCATTGCTGACATAACTCCACTTCCTTAAGTACTAAG